GTGATTTTATTTTTGTCATGTATCTTTAGTGGCTTTCTTTTGAAATAAATACATCATTAAAAATAATTACTTTATGCCTTTATACTCTTTCTTGAATCAAAAACCACATTTGATGATTCTTCAACCTACTTTGGGTTTGCTGTGGAAATAAAATATATTTTAAATTCTCTTGGCTATGATGGAATGCATTTTATCAAGGGACAGAATGGGTCGATTTCTGCAGGATACCCCAGAAACTCAGAGTTTGCCTTTGCTTAATTTTATTTACTTGCATGTTATGAAGTTGTGAGAAGTATTTCTAAGAATAGTGGTTATAAACATCTAGTTCAATGGTCTTTATTGTTAGTATCATTGCAGTATACACCTGTTTTCCTACTGAAGCTGTTTTGGCTAGAGACTACACAGTGTAATGGTGCATGAGACTACATTTTCAATATAGTTGGGCCTCTGTGTCCTTGGGTTCTGCTTTCATGCATCCACAGATTCAACCAACCACTAATAAAAAATATTTGAGAACAAAAAAACCACAGAAAATGACAAATACAACAATTAAAAACAGTACAAATAAGAAAGAATACAATATAACAACTATTTACATGGCATTTCCATCGTATTAGTTATTATGAGTAATCTGAAGGTGATTTAGAGTATATGGGAGGATGTGTGTTGGTTATATGCAAATGCTACATCATTTTATATCAGCGACTTGAACATTCTCAGATTTGAGTATCTGCAGAGGGTTCTGGAACCAATCCCCATGATACTGAGAGGCAACTGTACTTCAGGGGACTGAAAAATCTGGGTTTTGCAGTTGGAGGGGTGAAAGTCATTTACGGACGTTTCTATTCTTCACTGGGTGTGAAATCAAATTAATATTGAGTAAATCAGATTGGAGAAAATGGAAACAGCAGCTAGACAGATTTGTGTCCAGGACAATTGACATCTGTTATTTTTTAACCTGGATAATGCAGATAGAATTTGTTTTTAAAATAAGATAGGTGTAGCTATAAGCAAAGACAAGATTAAAATTTCTAGGGACAAGATTGTCAAATTTTGACATGAGAAGAATTATAACACATATTTTATATGCCAAATCAATTGCATATAACAACAAGTTTTCCCTACTCCTTATACCTTGAAGTCTAACTGCAGTTAAAATATAATCCTTTGAGGAAACCACATCATTAGAATAGACACTATGGTGAACCGTAATGTAAGAAATGATAGTTACTGCATTCACAAGTGCATGTTTATTTGCCATATTACTGCCTATAAAAGAACATAAAGGTGAACATTATTAATGTCTAAAATGTAAGCTGAAAAAAAGAACCATCACTCTTCTAATATTAATAATACTAATAATTCTTATAATTTCTTAATGATTACTGGTAGTTGGTTTGAGGTGGTATTACAGTATTTTTATGTGGCAATTAAAATTTCAGAAGCCCTCATGACAGTTAATTAAATTTTTCCTGATACCATCCCAAAGAAGTAGGCCAGTTTTATTATTCTTTCTCTTGGGCCTGGAAAATTGAATCATAATGTCTATATAAGGTAACTATTTAATCCAACTTTACTGCACTTAAAAATGCTCTTTCCCCCAAAAAGTAGAGAATAAAATGGTAATGTGGAGGCAGATTTTGGCTCAATATAAACATTTTTTAAAAATTAGAGCAAACAATGTATTTGTAGATGATTTTGTCTTCACTGATTCTATTCATTTAAATTTGAGGTGTTTTTATTGTTTTGAGTTTGAGGGATTTTTTTGCTTTGTTTTGTCTTAAAAATGGCCCTTGGTGTTGAACATTTGTTTGCCCCCAATCAGCTGAGGAGCGTTTATTACTTGAGATGCTGGTCTCTGGCCACACTGGGTCTGTGTCTCTTTTATCTCTACATCCCTTTATTGTACCTTCCTTCCAAACAGTATTAGGATGCTACATTTAAAAAGTCATTTTTCTTTCTTCAGTTAGCTATCAATTAGGATATCTTTAGTTATAAGAGGATACTCAACCCAACTCAAAGTAACTCACTAAAACAATTTCTCATTTAACAAGAAGTCCAGAGGTAGAGAAGTCCAAGTACAGTGAGGTCTGGTTTTCTGCCTTCCTGCAGGTGAGAGGACTTTCTGTCAGATGACTTCAGCAGTTCCACATAACATCCAGAAGAGAAATGGACCTTTCCTTCTTTGTAACTCATTTTAAGAGCTAGGACATTGGCCCCAGAAGACTTCCCTCACCTTTCATTGGCCAGGATTGGGTCTTTTGTCCATGCTCCTGCCAAACGCTGGTGTGAAGAATGGGAAGCTTGTGAACGGATGTTTGTGAATGGCTTAAGGTCAATCAAGACTCACTCCCAGGGCTGGAAATGGAGTTCACTTTCCCTGAAGCAGTGAAGAGGGTACTGGAGGAGGGTAGATCCTGAATAAAATCAGCATTCTGATGGGCAGGAGCAGGGGTAGGGGCAATGTCTGCTACAATTTCCTTTTCCTGACACTTCTTATAATGAATATAATTACTTGAAACTTAGCAGATGGGGTGGTTGAGCCATTATACTTTACTTTTGCAGGGTGTTTTATCTTGATCATATTATTTCAAAACTTCCACTAGAAATAGTATTGGCTGTTAAAATACTGGTGAGTGGATGTAGGGGACAAAGAGTACCATAATCTCCACTACTCTACCTTTAAAAAATATATATTCTAAGTAAAAATTTAAGCTTTCTATGTAAACTACTCTGAAAAAAATCTAAGTACAAACCGTGTACTTGCTATTTGAAAAATGCATCTTCCAAATAAATCACTAAGTCTGTTCTGTTCAGATTCCCATCCTTAATCCCTTCTGTAAGGAATTCTGGAGCCATTGTTATTAGAAGCCTCCCATGTTTTCACTTTCCTGTCACCACTGAGAAGGATGAGGCTTTGGATGCTGGCACAAGTTAAAAAAATTCTTCAATTCAATGGATTTTGACCATGCCCTTGAGAGTCCACTTGATTCTGGTTGTCAGTTTTCAGTTAAGGAGCCAGACAGGGTGGAGCCCAGGAACCCTGGCGGTGAGAACTGCTAAGTGGGAATGGATCTCCTAGGAGGAGGATGTACATACCCAAAGAAAATTCAAGGAAGAGATGGTCAGAAATGGGCCTGGGGCCATGGACTCCCCTATAAAGCAGGGTGAAAGTCAAAGATATATATCTAGGC